AGAAGCCTCTTTAAAGCTATTTTCAGGAAGCTCTAAATGAACCTTTTAATTTTTTTTTTACCTCATCTTCATGTGGAAAGACACCTCCTATGTGAATTGCCAAGATTTTTATGCAAAAGCTCACATCATTTATTGATTTAAGATCTTGCAAAAGATCTTTCAAAAAGACTTGCCAAATGACACCTAGATTAATTAACTTTGTTATGTTGATTGAGTCAATTGAGGCTAAATAGTTTAATCGTCTCAAATATGGTTAATTATGTGAGTTAGGTTGATTAAGGTAATAAGATTTAATTAATTAATGTAATTAGGTTAGTTATATTAAGTTAATTAGGCCCATTATGGAAATTAATTAAGGTAATTATGCTTACTACGTAATTAATTAGGTCAGTTAAGTTAATTTGACACCATACCTTTAAGTTCATGGATTCAAAAAAAAAAAAAAAAAAAAAAACCCTTAGACTGTGTTTGTTTTTAGTGTAAATATTTGTGTACGTAGAAGTATAATCGATGGAATTCAACACTGACCGGTTAGATCGGTTAAATGAGTGAACTGTTGTAAAATGAAAAGGCATGATTATTGATGTAAATAATTTATCGATTTTATAATCAATGCAAAACTCTACTGTGAGTATTTTGAATGTAAAATTATATTCAAAGCAAACGCCAACAAATATAGACCGTAAAACAAACGCAACCTTAAGTTTATTAGGTTTAGTAATTATAAATTGTTTAAAAACAGAGATCATTAAGTTGATTCACATGCTGGGAGAGTGTCGACGTGTGGAGAGTTTTTGTTTAGAGCTTCAGGAATCCCGTATTCCCGTCGTGTTTCTCACTACTCCATAAGACGCAAAGCACTCTCATTTAATAGCTAGGATAGTACAACAGTTCTCACCTGTTTCTCAAAAGAAAGATAAAATTGAACAAGGAGTTGGTTTCTCACAGGACGGGATAGCTGAAAAGGATGGTGCAACCTCCGGCCCCCTCTACTATTGATCCTTCTTTAAGTGGCAAGTTGCTATAAAGCTAAGCCTAAAACCAAATGAACGCCCATGGTGATCAGAAACAGACAGGCAGACAGAGAGAGAGAGCAACCTACAACCCAGAAAGAAAGGTAAAGGTATGATGGAGTTTGAGACTCTTCTGGCCTTGATAGGAACCCAGTTAATAAAGATATGGCCCGAACTCAGTGTTGCAATCTTTTGCCTCCTCTCCCTAAGATGGTACCACACACACAAGAACGAGGTGTTGATGCACTGGCCCATCCTCGACGTATACCCGTCTATCCTCGCAAACGTCCACCGCATTCATCACTGGATCGTCGACATCGCCAACAAGATCAGCTGCACTATCGTCGCAAGAGGGCCGGTATTCGGGCGCCTGGATGTAGTGTTGACGTCCGACCCCCGGAACGTAGATTACATCCTCAAGACTAACTTCTCCAACTTCCCCAAGGGCCCTCAGTTGAAGGAGGCCTTCGATCTGCTTGGAGACGGAATTTTCAACGTCGACGATGACAAATGGCGTTTACAGAAGAGGCTGGCACACGTCGCCTTGGTGTCCAAGGAGTTCCGGAACTTCACCGGTGCGGTGACCAGGAAGTTGGTGCAGGATGCACTCCTCCCCATAATGCTTCACGCTGCGAAACATGGCACCATTCTGGATCTGGAGGATCTGTTCATGAGGTTCGCATTCGACAGTGTATTTACTGCTATCTTTGGCAGAAGCCCAAACTCCCTATCCTTGAGCTCTCCCAGTAATGAACTTGCCGAAGCCATCGACGATGGGACGGAAGGCATATTCTACAGGCATGTCATGCCCAGAGGGCTGTGGAAGCTGTTGGGTTGGCTGAAGGTTGGCAGCGAGAGGAAAATGATCGAGGCCCGAAAGACCATAGATCATCACTTGTTGCAGCATATTTCGTTTAAGAAAGAGGAAATGCGTGAAGGAATACAGAGTAGTGATTTAATAGCTATGTACTTGACTACTCAAGCTCAACGTGGAGAAACCAGCATTCACAGTGAAGAATTCCTTCGAGACACGTCGTTGAGCTTCCTGTTTGCGGGGCGGGACTCGACGGGCACGTCGCTCGCTTGGTTCCTGTGGCTAGTTTCTACGACCCCGCACGTCGAGGCAAAGATATTGGAAGAGTTAAAGCAGGTGAAGAAAAGGAAAGAAGATCCGGAGGGTCTCGGCGCGCGCGGCACAGCTGAACCAGCAGAGTGGCCTTGGGTTTTTGACTCGGAAGATCTGAAAGAGCTGGTGTATCTGCATGCAGCTATGTGTGAGTCTTTGAGGCTCAACCCACCACTCCCTCTCACCCGAAGAGGGGTTGTGAAAGAAGATGTTCTCCCTGATGGAACCACTGTGAGACCAGGGCAGAAGATACTTATCTCAATGTACGCCATGGGAAGGCTGGAGTGGCTGTGGGGGAAGGACTACCAGGAGTTCAAGCCAGAGAGATGGGTTGATGACAAGGGGAGAATAAGCCAGGATGCCATGTCCAAGTTCTACCCTTTCACAGTCGGACCCAGAGCTTGCCCAGGTCGGAACATGGCCTTTACCCAGATGAAATCCGCCGCTGCAGCCGTACTCTTCAATTTCTGTATTGAGGTTGTGGAGGGACAGATCGTCAACCCAATGTCGTCAATAGTTCTCCACATGAAGAATGGAGTAAGAGTGAGGATAAAACAAAGGGTGTGGTAGTAACTTTAGAAAAATATTCGATCGGATCCTTAATTTACTGTTATTTAATAGCTACTTTTGTGTTTCATAAATTGTAACTACTTAATTAATTTAGTCATATAGGAAATTAATTGGAAACCCATGCATGAATATTAATTCATGTTAAGATTGGAGAGAATAATGTTAAGAAAATGACCATAAACCTGCCTCACAGTGATCATGGAACTCGATTAGAATATATATTAGCAGGTGTCAAAAACTCTTGCATATATACTGCGTTTGTCTCCAACAGAAAAAAATAATAATAATAAGAATGATATCTTATTTTCCACTATTACTTTAATTTTTTTTGCAGTTGTAAGGGAACCAAAGAGGCTTAAGATTCAGTTTGGAAGGACTGTAAATATAAATATGTACAATGCAAATATATACAGAATAATTTGAAATATTACAAGCTTTTGCATTCTACAAAATAGTAGCATGATGTTCACTGAATTCGTTCTCTTATCTCTCTTCATGGCTTCTGCCGATCAGACTGCAACTAACTCTCTACTCTTCATCATTCCCTGCAACAAGGGATCCCTTTGAATTAACGTAATTACATCATTTATTATATTATGGTCTTAAATAAATAAATAGGTACGACCATGCATTAAAAGAGAGCATTGTCTTTCCTGATTTTCCTATCCGTTCAACCATTCATACTTAATAGAAAGTGGGAAATGCACGTAGGATTAGTCCCAATCATGTACGTATATTACTGACAAGCCCCCCCGTGTCTCCTGCACACAAACACAAACTGTTCTCACATCCCAATCCATACAAAATTGGGATCTGCTCATACCGGGCGCCTCACACGGTTACACCGATCTCACAATTTCATCTCATCATGCATCGGAAACACATAACGTATAAGTAAGGTTCAAAATATTGATACGCCTTTTGGTGATTTTTTTTTAAATTTTTTTTGCCAACTGGTTTAGGGGAGTCAGTTTAGGTCTTTGCAACACCTTAAACCGGTCAGACCACTAATACATCCATTGTAGGGACGTATCAGTGGGGTGCTGGAATGATACGTATCGGCCGATATGTATCGATACTTTGAACTTTACGTATAAGTACGAGAGATATTCCCAATGAATGGTGGGATGTGCCTGTGAGGTCAGTGTAAGGCAACCTACTGAGGAGTAGATCTGGTCTCACCCATACGACATTATCGTCGACTAGGGAGATGTTCTCTATGTGCGTGTTTATAGTGTCCTGTTGCGGTATGGCTTCAGTCAATGCAAGTCCATGCTCACACTGTTCGAACAGCCTCTTGATGCCTTCCATTGGGAATATCTTCCCATGAAATAAAATATATAATTACGGAGATATTCCCAATGCAAGGCTGTTGGAACAGATGCTGCACTAACTGAAGCCGATCTCCTACAATTCTACATGCATGAAATGATATACAGGTAGGATTGTTCATGGGTCGGTTCAGTTTGGTTGCATTTGATTTTGTCAACCAAACCGAAAAAGTGGGGTTGAATTTGAGGCAAACCAAAATTGACAGATAAAGAGAGAAAACCGATTTTAAATTTCATTTTCTTTAACATCGGTTTAATCGGTTTTAGTTAAACCGAATAGAAATTAATGCTTGTAGCCAAAATTAACTTTTGTAGCCTAAAACTGTACCTATATGCTCCCTACATTCGGGACAAGTTGTAGTTGGCCAGTTGAGTGTTAGTCGGTCCCTGTTTCTTAGGTTTTCACTCTTATGAATAGACTCAACTTTTTACTTTTTACTTTTTTTTTTGTGTTGGTCCTTATATTTAGCTTTTGTTAGTTATATCATAGATGGAGATGATTAGAAAGTAATACCTGTCAATTAAAAGTAAAAGAGATGAAAAATATATAAGATATACGAATTACAAAAGGCAAATATGTGTAGTATGCTCGGGTCGGTTTCACATCAGGTTACAAAAAGCATAACTGCAACCGAATCGGGACATCGAGTTTTGCCATTTTCTAAACCGAGACTGACCGAACCATTTTAGAAATCAACCATCTCGGGTCGAGTTGGTCCGGTTTGGTTGGTTTAAAACATCTTCCAAACAGCCCTATATACAGGGATTTTTTTGTTTCTCAAAAGAAGGAAATACATATAGGCTACGTTTGGAATCAGTGTAAAATGTCATCAGTGTAAACGTTTTACACTGAATCGTGAAAATGATCGTTACTTTTTGAAAAACACAATGGGTGAAGAGTGTAAAGTTTTACATCGATAAATTTGATGTAGTATTTGCATCGATACTCGATGTAAAACTTTACGTTTGATAGTTTTACATCGGTTATCAACATAAAACTCCACTCCATCCAAATGTATATAAAATTAAACCGGAGTAGAGTTTTACGTCAACCAGGACTACACTCCTAAACACGGATAAAATCGAACCAGTGTAAATTTTTACACTGTTCTTAATTTACACGAATTCTAAACACATCCATAGGAATTTCAGGAACTATCATATGATAGCTAACAWCTTAAAGTCTTACGCCAAATCAGATATACTTTCAAATACCTTTGATGTCTGAAATACAACATTTTAGAAGCCTGAAAAGTGTTATCAAACGCTATTTAAGTGATTCACATAATATTTAAGATTTAATTATCATATAACCTTCAATTTACTAAGTTTGTGTTTGATAGCGCTGAATTGAGCTCTGAACATCAAAATTCTTACTTTTTGGCACTTTGGGGTTATTCGGTAGCATTTTTTACCGGACCCTCCGAATACTAAAAATGCTTTGGATTCATTATTTCATTTAGAGGACGAGTTATCTTTGAGTGCGTTCTCAGGTAGCGGACGAAATTTGTTTTTCTATTGTATTCATTATGAATTTGAGCAACTTRGAACTCCCCTCCGTCTTATTCCTATGCAATCGACCTACAATAGGGAGGGAGTTTTCGAATCAATCGGTTCTATTTTACCTTACATCCGATCCCTAATTAAAAACAGTTGAATTGGTCACCAATTTGCTGACTTAGGTGGTTAAACCATCAACTTATCCAACAGTTTTTGGCCATTTGTTTTAACCAAAAACAGTTTTAATTATTTTTTAATTTTTTCGTTGAAATGTGTATATTTATTCAAATCGTCAACCTAAAAACTGGTGGTTAAAACGATTCCAATTCTGGATCGGTTTTAAAACCATGATAAAGAGAACATGCGTGCAACGATTGTGCTATGCGGCTATGCCCCTCTTAAAACCAATCATGGATCCATCTCTTTCTTCTCCGGCTCCCAAAACGCACCGTGCAATCAACCTCCTCCTTCTCCGTCCCTTCTTTCCCGAAACCGACTGTACTCTGCTCCTCCCAAAACCCACCATGGATCCCTCTCCTTCTTCTCTGTCTCTGTCTCCCAAAATTCACTATGCAATCGACATCCTCGTCCATCCTTTTTTCCTCAAAACCGACTATGCTCTCCTCCTCCCAAAACCCACAAAACCCACTGTGGATCCGGCATCAAAGAAAAAGAATTGACCATACCTGTGGATCCGGCAATCCACTGTGGATCTGATGCAGTTTAATGTGAATCCATTATAAATGGACTAGGTTTAATCTAGTCTAAAAAGCATTTTGTATCATTTTAGACCGGTTTAATTAATGTCTGGACTGTCTAATCTGTTCAAATTTATTTTGATTTAAATTGGTTTCAGCCCAAACTTGGTCCATTAGCACCTATATTTTTATTTTATATCAATGGATCAGATATTGGCTTAATCCAACCCAATTTAATATAAATTTATCATAGAAGGACTAACTARGTCTAATCCACTTCTAATAAATATTTTGGACTAGATTAATCCAATCCAATATGTCTTGTTGGTCCGTCTAATCTATCCAAATTAATTTAGGACCGGATGGAGTCCAATCCAAAACTGATCCATTGACACCCTTACCCTCCTCTATTCTCTATCCTGTTTAGATGGAAACAGAGGAAGAAGAGAGACTGAAGCCCCTCCTCTATCCTCTCGGTCTCTCTCTGGTCTGTAATAGACTCCATCACCGAAAATAGTGTAGCTTTTGTTCATCTATTTTGTTGATTTCAAAATTGTTTTATTATCTTATTGTTTAATACTATTTTAAATTTTTATTAGTTTTATAAAATTATTCATTTTATTGGTATTTTAATATTATTTAATAATCTTAATTATTATTTAATAATTTTTTCATGATATTRTAATATTTTAATCATTTTCATTTATTGTTCTGTAAATAACAAATTGAAGGGTAAATCTGTAAAATGCACTTTTTTTAGACATCACAACATTCAAATTATTGAACAATTCCATAAACTTCAGACTTTATATTTATTTAACGCCACCCAAGTAAAATATAGAAATGCCTATCCACCCTACACTGAACAAATCCATTATATCCAGATATCTGCACAAGTGAAAGAACAAAAACAAAATTTTCACATAATGCTTTTAGAGCCTTTTTCAAATATTTTTTTTTTCTTTTCAAACTTCAAACTTTACCCAAGTAAAATATAAAAACGCCTATCCACCCTACACTGAACCAAATTTGAATTTAATATCAAAAAGGAAAATAAAAAACAAATTTGAATTAGCTGAACATTTTAATTGTATAGAAGGCTGTGGGACCAACAATAATGTCCCACACCACTGATTAAATACACATGCCCATACTGAGTGGTTGTGGGCCTCACGTATTTTATCATAAATGTTGAATAATATTAATATTATATTTGGTTCCACAGCCTACCGAAGAGCTATTGTATTCACTTAATCCTATCTCCACTGAATTATGTTTTTTTTTTTTTTTTTTTTTTTTAGATTTTCACCTTTGCTACTCTTGAATTAGAAGAAATCATATTGTTCTGATACAATATTTTTAAAATATTGGAGAAATATTGCTACTGTTAAGAATTATTCCCGCTGAGAATAAACGCATATATAGAGAGCTTAAAAAGAGAATATTAATACGAATAAATGGAAATCTTTTA